ATGTCATAATTATGAAAATCACGCTAAATCCACTCTGAATTTGTCTGTATCATATGTGAGTCCGCTCTCAATTATTTTTGTTATGCGTTCACCCATCACAACAAATTTATTTCAATGCAGCTGTCATTTATTTAGTAACTGGATTTGTAGTTTTTTTTAATTATTTCTCTATTTTATTGATCACTATAATTTAATGTTTAGAATGTCAAAATATGTTCTCTTTTTATTTTAATTTTGAATGTGTTTTTTTACTCAGACGATCGTTGAAATAAAACAGTGTAGTGACGTGCCTAGTAACCTGCTAAATAACAAGACGATTCAGGCGTCAAATTCGATTTTGTCCAGTGCCGGGGTCCAGCAACAGTGTACAAACGTGCGTCGGTGACGGTGACGACCACGGTGACTAGCTACACCAGACCGGACATATTTCGCACCTGACTCAACGCCATGCAACAAACTTGATACTAATGTGTTCATTATGGTCCATTTTTACTCGACGAACAAGTACATAAGTGGCAATTTAGTCAAAGATGAGAAAACAGCACAAGAAATTTGCCTTATTTACACGTACCGGCAATGCAAGCTACCCAGCAACTTCCCCTTCTGATGTCACAAGGCGAATTTCTGTATGCAAATGAGAAGCTATTGAGGAGCCTCGTTTTAAAACACACAAAAATAAAGTTGCCGTAGACTGAGTTAAAAACGCATTTTTTCACTTAAAAAAATAATTTATGCTTAGAAACATAAAAATTAATAAAATTTATGTATCAATGGATAATTTTAGGCGTGAAAATAGCAGCCATTTCACAGGCACTTTAAGTAAGCCTTTGGCGACCAAAAATATATTTTGGCAGGTCAGCATCGAGATTTAATTTTGTTACTGTTGCTGCTGACAAACAACAATTTCTGATGAAAAATATCTAAAGAAAAAAGGAGCATATTAACATTAATTTGTAATTAATCAAGTTTGTATCAATCAATTGAATTATTTGTTTAGGGGGAAGTAAAGTAGAATTATACTAAAATCATTTTATTAGGTACATACCTGGTCTTTTATCAGGGACACCAAAGGTGATACAATTATGATTGCTCCATTAGTTGGTGATTATAACATTGAATACATTTCCCATATCCAGTTGGCAGGATTGCAAGTACATCATTTTTACCTAAAATATACTTTATAGCCAATTTTTGTTCTTCTTTCAACTGTGGGATTGACACCGAACTTCTCACAGACCTTAAAATTAAATAGTAAAAAAATAACATAGGTCACAGTCATGTACAAGTAGTACCACTCGAGCAGTGTATTACCAGGTTTTTAATAAGACAATAACACGAATCGAAAGATAACTCTGACTACTATAGAACAGATGAGCATTGGTCAGATGCATTTGTTTGGGGGCTTAACTTTGTAATCAAATAAACTGATGTGACTATAGCATAAGGGGATGTTTATTATTTTATCAAATAATGCAAGATACCAGGTAGTGCGAGACGTACACAGGGACATAGTCCCTCTATCCCCGGTCTAGAAATAAGGATAGAGGGATTGTGACAGGAAGTAGTATTTGTTGGATCCTAGTTTATTTTCTTTTTTTCTTGGTTAAAGATAGACAGTACTGGTAAACACTAGCCATTGTTAGATGCAGTAATAGAAAATACTAGTAATTTGCGACTTGTGTATATTGAATAAAAAAGAAGAAAAAACAACATAAACTGGGCGGACCTAACCTGGATTTTACCCATCCAGCTTTGCAAAATTTTAGTTTTTGACTTGTAATTTAGGGTAGATAATCAAATTTACCTAATTTTTCCCTTTTAAATATCTATGAAAAAAACCTTTTGGTTATAGGTATGCTAATGTTGAATTTGTTCAAGTACTAGTAAGCTCTTGTAAGGGTTGAACTGGCTGGACAACAGGAAGTGCTCTGCCTGCCAAGCTTCAAATAATGACATAACATCAGTACTGTCTATCTTTAAATAATCTCCACAATTGCGACAAAACATATGCAAGTTATTGCAGAACTCTGTGCGAATCCCCCTTGATTCTGGCTGCTGGCCATTTTCGTTCATGAAATCGTCGGATATCATCAGAAAACGCGGGATTTGTGCAGTTTTGAATAAAACCAAGTTAGCGATTATGAACAATGGTTATTAACGTAACACCTGATCCCCTCTAAAAATTTTGTTCCGCATTTTAAGGTAAGAAATCGACATTTGAAACCGACAGGGTGTCGATTTACTCGGTGCCGTGTTTCACAACTTGTTTA